AAAGTAGAAGATAAAAAGATCATAGGGGATAAAGCATGAAGTGTCTAAATGTCAGTCATGCATTTTGTTTACTCAGAGATTAGACCATGATTGATAGAGATTACACATGGCACGCCAATCCTCTCCAACTGTTAAAAATATAACTCGAGGAGTTAGTACCCTGTGGAATACTAATTGATATTCTGTGAGTGTGGAGATTTGCTGACATTCACTGTGGGGGTTAAGAATGGAGTGCCCACATGCTAAGCTTATATCTTCATGAGAGAGAAAAACAAATAATGCTAGAATAAAATCAAAGCTCCTGAATGGTCATATTAATTATTCTGCTTCTAAATAACTTAAAATAACCTTAAACAGAAATCTTAAGTGTGCAGAATTAATTCTCAAAACTCACAGCAAACAAGATTCCCATGGGATTTTTATTATCTTCCTTGCTGCTTGGACAAAATACCTGGCAAAGACACCTTAAAGAAGGAAGGTTTATTTTAGCTCACAGCTACAAGATAGAGCCCATCTTGATGGCACAGGCAGAGCAGTGGGAGCTTGAAACAGTTGGTCAAATTGCATCCAACGCTAAGAAGCAGGAAACAATAGACACGCACAGTAAGTTCACTTCTTTTCACTCACCACAGCCCCAGCTCATGAACTGGTGCCATCTACATTTAACATGGAGCTAATTTCACCTCAATTAGCTCAAGCGAGAAACTGCCTCACAGACATACCTAGAAGTTTGTTTCCATGATGATTCTAAATCAAGTCAAGTCACATTGGCAAGAAAGATTAACCACCACAGGGAATTTTCAAAAATCATAATATACCTGAGTTCCTCCAGACCAATGAAATCAGAATATATGAAGGAAGATGGAACTCAAGCAGTTGAAGTTTGAAAATACCACAGACAGCCTTAATGTGAAGTTAGGATTGAAAAATGAATGCGACTATGAGCAAAGAGGTCAAAGCCATGAGGGGTTCATCCACTGAAGCAGTTTACCTGAGCTAATGGGAGCTCACCAACTCCAACGAGACTGGGAAGGAACAAGCATAAGACCAAGTTAGTCTCTCTGAATGTGGTTGACAGTTGTATGGCTGGGGCAGACTGAGGGGCCACAGGCAGTGGCACTGGGATTTGTCTCTGCTGCATATACTGGCTTTTTAAGATCCTATTTTCTTTCGATGTATACCTTGCTCAGCCTAGATATAGTGGACCTTCCACAGGGATTGGAGAGGGTGGGGTAGGAAGTGTGTGGAGAAAATGGAAGGAGGGGAGAGAGTGGGAATTTGGATTGGTATTTTTTTTAAAAAGATCTAATAAAAAAACTGCTAAATTTAAGGAAATTAAGCTATACTAATTGCTACTCCATAATTTTCTTCAAGGACTATGAAATTTAAAAATAGTTTTAAAAATAAAAATATGTCTGCCAATTTGAATTCCTTTGCAAAGCTACAGAAAAGTTCTATAAATGGCAATGGAAATGATGACGAGAAGAGTAATATACTTGGGGGTCAATATCACGATGAGGTTATATGACAGACAGTTCTAGGGAATGCAACACACACACACACACACACCTACACACCAAAGAAAGAGAACTCAGGCCAGACCAAGTTAACAATTGCACAAGAATCCAATGTGAAGAAGCAATGCATTTGTATTAGGGTTTCTAACCGAAGTACGGGTGAGGGATCACTTACCATAGCAGGGATGATTCTAAAAAGAAGTTGTGTAACCAAAAAGCCATCTTCAACATGGACAACAACATATGACAAACATTAGATCTTTCAGGCTAGCTCAACTTTTAGGCAGCTCCACCGGTCCAGGAAATGTCCTGTCTGCAGCTCTGCTGCTCAGGTCTTACCCTGGTAGTCCGTTGCTTCTTTTATAAAGCTGGCAAGAGACCTTCAAGTTTCTTGAAAATTTCCACTTTTCCAGGTGTGTGACCTATTGTTTGTATCTCATGAATTATTGTCTCATGAACTTCAATCATGGAGGGAAAGTTTGAATTCAGAAAACTACTATACAACAGACCCACAAACAGGACTGAAGGACACGGGCAAGATGACAAGCTCAGGATGAAAAGAAGCATATGATGTTATAACTCACAAAGCATATAAATTATAAAGCTTATAAAATCAATAAAAAGATAAACTGCAGAACAGACAGAGAAGATGCCAGATTCGTGTTTGATTTTATTAAATGGTTAAAGCAAAAGGAAATTGTTAGTAGGACAAGGAAAATGGAGGCAAAGACTGAAAGGAAGCAACAGGTTGGAATCATTTCAAGACAGAGAACTGGTATGGGTTTTTGAAGAAGATGACTAAAAAAGATTGTGAGACTATTATCATTCACCTATCTGCCAAGTCATTAAATAAGTCAATTAAATAACAATAAACTGTCAAACACCATGCCAGATTCTGAAGGTAGAGCAACAAATGGAGTATTGACCTCTACCACGTAAAGAGTCATGTGTTATGAAAGGTAGGTAATATATATGTGCAAAGAAAAAAAACAGTTCAACAGCTATAATTACTGAGATGAAACCTCTGGGATGCTTAAAGAGAGCAACAGAAAGCAGTAATTATTGGGATGATGTATAGAGCTAGTTGTGTTGGGTGCTAAGCAAATCTCTTAGCCATATTTTAAAAGACTGATGGACCTATTGGAAATAGCATGCATTGAGGAATGGGGAAATAAATGACCTCAAGGCTTTGGAGAGTTAGTATAGTTCTATCCTTGCAGAAATGTGGTACTAATTTGTTGATACTAATGAAAATGATTAGGTAGCCATTGCTTTTTGTAAGTCAGATCATATTACTGTGTTTGATGAAAGAGATATCAAAGAAGTGAGGACAAAACCAAAGTTCTATGAATTGGAAAGTTTGTGAGATGCCACTATAGGAAATGACTCAGTGTGTTTACTGGAGCAAAGAATTAAGAAACAAGTACAAAACATAAAATGTTCTACTTTGTTGGAGAGATGGAACAATTTGGGGCACATGTACATACCAAGCTGGTAAAAAGGAAGATAGAATTGTACATAAAAGGGATGGTAGTTCATCTGCACCTTGTAGTTGGTTTAAAGAAAGGGCTCAAAACCATTTTCTAGTCAGAGGAGCAGGACACTGTGGAGTTTATAGAGAAGCAAGATATAGTATGCTGCAAACAGAGAAGTGTTCAGGAGACTCAAACTCTTGTTACTGAGCTCAATACTGCTTTCATCCTAATCTCATCTCTCCAGCCCTCCTTCAACTTTAACAAGATTTATGACTACTGTAGTTGATCCAATCAAGGTCGTTTTAAGAATACCAGTACAGACACTCAAAGATGAAAATAATTTAGGACAAAAAATGTATGAAGAGTATAATAGAATTAAAATAAATAAAAATAATGAACCTTCATAGGAAAATTGTTTATACTGTGTTTTGTTTCCCATTATGCCATGGCTTAGTGAGGAGATCTTCAGTCTCCTGTATGAACAGTGGTGGTAAGAAAGCACCAGATTGAGTGGCATTTAATTCAAGTTCTATGATTTGGTTAATAGCAACAAAGACTATATCTGAATTAAAATGGTTTCCTTTTCATGTTCTATTGAATGATCTTATAGAAAATTCTCCAAAAGTCGCCTTTGTAGCTCTCCTAGCCATAGGGATCTAAAACAAAACTCTGCCACTGGCATCAGTGTCGAAGGCCTCTTCTCCAGAGTCTTCAGAGACCTGAAAGCATTTATAATAAGCAATTCTTTCAGCACAAAAATACTAGCAGGTTTGGCTCTTTCCTGTCAATGTGAATGTTAAGACCTCAGTAATCATACTCCACTTAATGTAAGCCCAAACTCAAAAACACAGTTTAGTTTGTAGAGAACAGAAGGAAAGAACTGAAAGGAAAAGATGCCTTGCTGAAAAGTAAACATGAAAAAACTCACTGCCTACCAAATACAGATATTTTATTTCTCAAGAATTCAAATAGCATGATCATTGTAATACTTTATTATTTTAAGCTAGAACACTAAATGGGTTTCATTATTGTTTATTGTGTACATCATGGATACTTACTTCCTATTCATAGCCATTTCCAATCAGCCATCTTCATCCTCCCTGTTCTCCCTGTAAAGAGTTTCGCTTTCTTTTTTTGTGCCTTATGTATTCCACTTACTCTCTAGGTTCTCCTCCCTCCCATTCGATTCTCTTCCTACTCTTCTTTCTGCTTTCAGGAACACGCACACAAACACACACAAATCTAAAATCTTTGTAAGAGAGAAAATAAAAGGTTTTTGTCAATCTGAATCAGAGTTACTTTGATCAATATAAATATTTCAGTTTGATTCCCTTTCTTGCAAATATCAAGGTTTCATTTTTCTTTCTGGCTGAGAAATTCTATTGTCTGTATTACATACCACATCGTTTTTTCCTTTGTTATTTTTTTTCACTATACAAAAATAAACAAATTAACTTTATTAAGCCATGGCTTCAGTACTTACATTGATTTGCTTAAAAAAATATCAGTTTAGAATATCATTGCAAGTGAACACGCACAATAAATAGAAAACGGGGTGTGCAGTGCTGGGGGACTGGCGACTGCTGCCTACCGTGGCAGGACCAGATCCTGACGGCCATCAGCATTCTCAAAGTGCAGGCGAGCACCAAGGGGAGGTTTCGAATGTCTGGGAATTAGCTTGGCGCTCTGGACCACTCACCAAAAACATAAAAAAACAAAACGAAAAGCGACTCCATGTCTCTGGGAAGCAGCTTCCCAACAACACTGAATTATCCACTGCTATTCGCAGAACAACTTAAACTACCCAAAGCGCTAAGACTTCATTAGCGGTTCTTTAAATCAAAGCTTTAACATTAAATATATGATCACTCAAATATCCTAAGCCGTATAGCCAGCCCCAAAACAATAAGTTACAAATCCTCTGAACCTAATAACTTAAACATGATGTGGTTAATGTAACACATTCTACCTCAGCTAACCTTTCATGTAAGGGGTTGTTTCACTGCCCTCAAGTGAGGGATGTGATATCCTAGCAACAGTGATGGCACCATTAATACAAAGGCAGAACCTGCAAATGTACACATTACTTTGAGTTGCACTTTTCTATGTACAGGTGGGTCCGTATTCAATGTACAAATTTTCAGTGGAACAGGCTTAAGATCCAGGCAGGTTTAACAAATGCTTTCTGACTTCGGAACAGACAGTAAAGGGACTTCCTAAACAGAACAAACGAGTCAAAGGAGGTGGTGCCGGTTCGTATTTCATTTTAGGTATGGTGGATTTCATGAAGCATCAACTCCCGAGGTATACTTGTTTCTGGACCGTACAATTTACACGCTCTTCTTTCAAAAGCGGCTACCATTTGTTTCACAACTTCATCAAAGAACAATGTAGCAAGCTGGGAATGCAGAAGTGAGCGGAATTCAAAAGAAATTGAAAAATCCAAGGTACAAGTTCTCGGATAGCCAGGAAGACCTGGGCTAAAACGCCAAATCGTCTCCAAATGATTGAAAAGTTTCCCATCGGTACAAGATGCCTTTACTAAGTGTGGTTTGACCAAGGTTATGATTGATGTGTATCGCTCCAAAACAGGTGGAAACCCAATTTCTAATTGAGTTTTACAATACCCAGCTCTCCTAGATAGTATGTCTGATTTTTTACACCAAGGGACGAAATGCTTATAATCTTCCATTCCTGCTACCACATCATACATTTCTTGCATTGAGTATCCGATAATCCTTCTCTCTGAATACTCTTTCCGTTTATTTACTAGTGGCACAGTCATCTTGAAGAATGTTCTTGCGTGGATCTCTTTAGGCCGAGCTGAGGCATGCGGTGGAAGCGCTCTGTTCATCAGTATACCACAGGAAGCCAAGTGTCTGACATTGCGCGCAGGTCCCCGCGCCGGGGCTTCCGCCACGTTGGTCGACTTCGGACGGCACCCCGACGCCACCCTGGCCAGAGCCCTCTGACAGGTCCGAGCTGCCATGATCGTCTCCTTTGTTATTTTTTAAAAGAAAACAACTATCTTTTTTATTATACATAACAATTCAAGTTCCCACTCTCTCCCCTCCTCCCATTCCCTCCACGTACCCTCCTACTTCACCTTCATCCACTCTCCAAAGACGGTAAGGCACATTGCTTTATGGAAGGTCCAAGGCCCTCCCTACTATATCTAGGTTGAGCAAGGTATCCATCCAGAAAGAACAGGATCCCAAAAAGCCAGTACATGCAGTAGGGATAAATCCTGGTGCACATTTTTTTAGTATTCATCTACTGAAGGAAATCTAAACTGGTTTTATTTCTTAGCTGTTGTGAAAAGTGCTTCAGAAAACCATAAATGTACACACACACACACACACACACACACACACGTGTGTGTGTGTGTGTGTGTGAGAGAGAGAGAGAGAGAGACAGAGACAAGAGACAGATAGAGAGACGAGAGACAGACATATCCTTTGAGTATATTCTTTTAAAAGGACACTAAAATATTATGGTACACTCTATGTTTTAAAAGAGGACTTAAGTCATTACAGGTGAACTTTAAATATAAGAATTACCATTGGTTTAATGTGAGCTCTGATCTGTGAGTATGTGCTTGATAATGCCTTTCTAATTCCACCAGTGGGGCCTAGAGCTATGATTCTTCTATGGCAGGGTCTGCTTTATTGAATTTCCTGCCTGTACTAATTCTATGTATTTCCAATTAGCTGACCTTCAAAACTGACATTAGTAGAAAGGAATTGTTTTCTGACAAGCTAACATTTTAAGGCTAATGGTTTTTTAATAAGCAATTGAGTTTGCAGCATTCAGCTCTTGTTATGTTTTTATTGGTTTTTGTGCTTTAATTCGGTATGTGTGTTTTGGAACCACTCCATAGCAGGTGCAATTTTAAAAATGGAATCAATAAGATTCACTGTGATGTATGACAGTAGCATTCCAAGCTCAGCTTACAAAACAAAATACCACAGCCTCACAAAGAAAATGTGTTGATTCCTTGGGGCTTTCTTTTCTGTAACTTCAGAAAATCCTATTCACACCCTTTCTGTGCACAAATCCACCCTCCTCTAAACAGCTCTTACTCAGACCCATGATCTCATCGCCTGCTTTAGAGGGAGAGAGAGACAGAGAGAGAGAGAGAGAGAGAGAGAGAGAGAGAGAGAGAGAGAATGTGCATCTAGCTGGAGAGTCTGAGTACAGCTTGCTTTCCTTTCAATCTGCAGTACTGCTAATTAATAGGGCTTATAAAACATTGTGTCAAACATTGGTCAAATGTGTTTTTCCTATCTTTTCTCTCTAAGTGGATTAAAGAGAAACTTCTAGTTTCAGGTCTAATAGTTGGCAATGGTGGGATTTATCTAATTCTATCTCCTTCAACCTTCTTCCAGACATTGCTTTGCAATTTTTTCTTTTGTCCATCTGATTTTGGTCTTGATTTCTCCATTGACCACTTAATCACAGACAGATGTCTCATTTGTGTTAGTTAGAGGGAGGTGGGGTGGGGACGGAAAAGAACAATACAGGAGAATTTAAGATTGGGTGGCAATATTCTATAGTATCCAACCTGTTTGTGTACTTCCTGTAAGTTCCATTTTTAAATACAGGTAAAAAGATATGAGAGAGAAAGAAGCACCCCACACTCACAAAAATGATCATAAATATTTTTTATTTAGCAAACTGAGATTTTTTTATAGATTCAAAACCTTTGTATGTATGTATAGCATAAAAGTAGAAACAAATTATTCAGGAGAATGAATCAGCAGGAAAGAAAGGGGTGAGAAACAAGAGTGTAGAGTGATATGGGGAAAATATGCTTAAACAATGTTATATACTTATATAATAGGATCCTTTTGAAAGTCAGTGTTGATAGTACTGGTGTTTAATTCATATAAAAGAAACATATGAAACTTTGGGCACTAGTTTAAGAAAGTATTCTAATTGCAAATTAAAGTACTGAGGAAGGAAAAAGATGTTCCAACCACAAGTCTAGCAGAGCAAAACACTAGAATCCCATAACATTGTAAGTAAACAATTCCAATAACTAGTTAGAAAATCCTTTATAAGCAAGGTGGTTTCTGATGCTTTGTGTTTAAGAAAACCAAATAACTGGTAGTTATCAACTATGTAATTAGGACTGTGAAACACAGTACTCAAAGAATAGACAGAAATTGCCAGAAAAAATAATTTTTAAGTTTCCTTCAAATCATGTATCCTTATTTACAAGAAAAACTTCTCTTTGGCATTTTGAATTGCAAAAACAAAAATTCAAAATAGAATTGAAAATTAGTAGTGCATTACTCCAACAATTTAGAATAACTGTTTAGAACATTGAACAAAGGGCAGAAAAAGCTCCACATAACTCATGAAGAAATGCAAGTTAAGTAAATGTTAATTTGCTTTATTTATAAATTATCTTGCTCAAATTAATATACTATTTACAATAAGGTATATGCTGTTATTAATTGAAATGCTAACTCAACAAAATGTAATTATTATGGTAAATTGAAAATAAAAGTATTATGTGTATACATATTTCTGAGACTAATAATGAGGTGGTTCATAACAGGATATATAAGCATTAAAATATTGACTTTGTTAATATGAGGGGAGGTGCTTACTCTTACTGCAACTTGACATGCCATGTTTGACTGTTATTCACGGGAGGCCTGTCTTTTCTGAATAGAAATGGTGGAGGAGTGGGTGGGGAGAGTGGGCAGAGGGGAGGTGGTAGGAGGGACTGAGAGGAGAGGAGGGAGCAAGAAACTGCAGTCAGGATGCAAATAGAAATAATAATTTTAAACATCTCCCATTGCAAAAATAGGACTTGGTTGTGAATGAATCAAAAGATGTAAGAAAGAATATCAAGTCACAAAATTCTCATACTTGATGATACTGCTATCGGTTACTTTTCGCGCTATAAAAATAAATGACAAGAAGCAACTTATTCGAAGTAAAGTTTGAATGTCTTGTTTTGACTGTCAACTGGAGAGAATTCAGACTTACTGTAGAAAAACTCTGAACATGTTTGTGAAGGATTTTTTTTTAGACTATGTTATTTGAAAGAGGAAGACCCACCATAAATATATACAGTATCATTCTCTCATGTGGGGTCCTGGATTAAATGAAAATGAGAGAGGGGACTGGGCAGCATCATGCATCACTATGCTTCTTTATTAGGGATGCAAAGTAAACAGCTGCCTCAAGATGGTGTCACCATAACTAACTTCCTAAAATTGCTTTTGTCAGATATTTTGTCACAGTAACAATGCAAGTAACTAATATGGGTTTAGACTTACATATTGAGGGTACAATCTATGATGGGGAAGAAGCTAGTGAGGCAGGAGCCTGAGGCAGTTAGTCACACTGTATATTAGTTACTTTTTTTATTGCTGTGATAAAATACCATACCAAAGCAACTTAAAGAAGGAAGGGTTTATTTGGGGTTTACAGTTTCAGAGGAATAAGAGCCCATCACCATCAAGACACTGAAGCATGGCAACAAGCATCAGGCATAGTGGCAGGAACAGCTTGAGAAACAGAAGCAACAGACAGAAACAGAGGGCATAAGGCTTTTGAAACATCAATGCCTTCCCAAAGTAACATACTCCTTCTGTCAAAGCCACAGTTAAGTTATTCCTAACAGGATCAATCACTGTACTGGGGATCAAGTATTCAGATGTCTGAGCATATGAGGGACATCTCATTCAAACCACCATGTCTTGCATCCCTAGTTAGGAAGCAAAGAGTGATAAATGCTGTTGCACAGCTTACTCTTCTATTTTACGGAGCACAGGACAACATCCTACAGTATGGTGCTATTTGCCAGTTCATTTCATGTTCACCAAGAGATGTGTTTCCATAGCTCCAGTAGCTATTCTTGTTTTGTTTTGTTTTTTGGTTTTTCGAGACAGGGTTTCTCTGTAGTTTGGGAGCCTGTACTGGAACTAGCTCTTCTAGATCAGGTTGGCCTTGAACTCAATGAGATTCATCTGCCTCTGCCTCCTGAGGGCTGGGATTAAAGGTGTGCGCCACCACCACCCAGCTAGTAGTTATTCTGAATCTCCATCAATTTTACCATGATGATTTACTGCCACAATACTCTATTCTGGTGTCGGAGGTCCTTCTGTCTATGTGTTATTTTTATTGGGTAATGAATAAAGAACTGGATTGGCCTATAGCATGGGAGGAGGAAGGCGGAGTCAGAGAGAAGCCTTGGAACCTCCAGAGTCAGATGCTGGGAATTTTAGCCAGTAGGCCACTGTAACATGGAGATACACAAGTTAATAGAAATGGGTTAAATTAATATGTAAGAGTTAGCCATTAAGATGCTAGAGCTAATGGGCCAGTTGAAGGGTCTGAAGACAAGAATAAAAATATAGAAATAGAAATATAGACACTAAAGGTTAGAAGGTAGAAGTTTAGGATGTAGGAAGAAGGACACATAAAGCTGTAAACCTAAGTAAACTATCAACAACTTTCTCAGCAGATCACAGATCAATCTTCACAGGGATTACTTTCTCGGATGCCTGGGAAATCTCCATCACGTTAGCTATTTACAACTGACTTTTTTATTACAAGGCCAGAGCATCTCCCTGTAAACTGAGGGTAGTGTCTTGACTGTCCTTAACAAACAGTAGGTGTGAACTGAGTTTAACCCTTAGGAGACAGAGATATGTGACCTCTGAGTCAGACACTGTCTCTGTTATGGGAGACTGGCACTACCAGAGGAGAGGCATGACCTCAGTTTGTACTCGGGGATACCAGGAGACAGTGGATAAATAAAAGAAGGTTTTAATGAGCTCTGATAATGAAAGTTGTAAAGTATGGCAGTCAATTTACCTAAAAATAATGTGAAAGACTTTTCTTCTAAGTTCTCAGTCCAAGAATCCTAATTTATTAACCTTCTAGTGTTACAAGCAGCCCCCTTTCTGACGAATTGCTAAAGATATCTGTTTTCTTGCAATTAGTGAGTTTCGTTGTAGTCTCTCCTA